ATATTTAAAAATTTTATTTTAATAAAGAACCAAATCTCTTTTTAAACATAAATTTTATTGAAGCTTAGCATTCACACAGACCTACACAAATCATAAATCTATACCTTAATAAATTCCCATACAGTGAACTCATAATTATCAGCACCCAGCTCAAGAAATAGAATATTAGCAGAAAGTTCCTAGTGTTCCTTTCTTACCACTCCAAGGATAATCATTGTTCTGTTTAATAACATATATTAGTTTCCCCTGCTTTTGAATTTCATATGGACATGTATAATAGTGTATATGGCTTTTTTCACCCACCATGATGTTTATGAGATCCATCCATGTTTTTTTTTTTTTTTTTAATTTTTTTTTTTTTCACGTTTATTCATTTTTGGGATAGAGAGAGACAGAGCATGAACGGGGGAGGGGCAGAGAGAGGGAGACACAGAATTGGAAACAGGCTCCAGGCTCTGAGCCATTAGCCCAGAGCCTGACGCGGGGCTCGAACTCACGGACCACGAGATCGTGACCTGGCCGAAGTCGGACGCTTAACCGACTGCGCCACCCAGGCGCCCCTCCATCCATGTTTTTAAATGGAGTTGTAGTTCATTTCATCCCCATTGCATAGTATCCTGTGAATATCACAGTACTGTTTATTTATTCAACATTAGGTGGACATTGAATTGTGCCTAGTTTTCACCTAAATAGTGCCATTATGAATATTCTCTGCATGTTTCTTGGTGAGCATATATAACACGTGTCTCCTGGGCTTAGGAGTGGACAGAGCTTTGCTTTTAACCGTTAACTTTATAAACAGTATATTTTCATAATTTAATTGAAATAACCTTTAAAGACCATTTTTAGCCTAAAAAAAAAAAAAACAAACCTCTTTGCTCTTTATTTCTTCCTAGAAACAGTCCTAGGAAAGTATGTAGAAATCTAAGATAATCACGAGTTTAATTCTAGATTTTCATAATGCCCTTTGGCCCAGAGATATTTCATGTTTTAGTGCACTTTTTTTCAGGTAGTTTCTTTTATTTTATTTATTTTTTTTATTGTTCCTTTGCTGGTTTTTTTTTTTAATATATGAAATTTTTTGTCAAATTAGTTTCCATACA